TACTTGAAGCTACTTTAAGCTCAATAAAACAGATAGTGCTGAGGCAAACAGGAATCATTAAACACATTCTCTGTGTAGGTTGCAAAGAAGCAAAACTGAAGTTGTCATGCCTGAACACAAGAGGGTGCAACGCGCTTGCACGTGCTCTTTCGCATGTTGGCGTCAATGAGTGCAAACGCATTGGTACACACTCAGACAGTACCAAAACATGCCAGCATACACAGTGCAGCTCTCACACCCCTCCTGAAAGCACATATAGAGAAAATGAAACCTCGCACATGTGCAGCTGAGGCAACAATTGCTTGGTGAAAAGACAAAATGGTGAACTGAGCTCTTGTTGCCTTTCAGGAATCACCAACAAATGTCAACAAAGGTAAAAGTAGCTACAGAACAACTAAAATCACAATTTAACTGAATGAGATTGCAATATAACAAATTTGCATACATATTTGCAAAGTATTGGTTAGCTTGGTGATGATCGTTTACTTGTTACTGTTGTTACTTGTTACCACACTTCATGGTGTGGAATACAGTGGAATTTTACGAAGGTGCCTGTTTTCACTGGTGCTGGTGAATATGGTCAAAGTGCTTCTAGAAGCAAGTCTCACAACCCAGCCGACATGTTCAAATGTTTCTCGATATTTTTTCACTGTTAATCTGCATGAAAATAAGTATGAAAACTCTTTTTTTCTCTTGATAGTCATACGCCTACAACCATGTAGGCTCTCTGGAATAGTCTGCTAGATTTCAGTTCAGGAGTGTTCGATCGCTCTCTTACAATGTCTCTGACATGATTGTTGTTTTCCTGCATTGATTTAATTTGTAATTAAATAACCTTAATAAAAATATTAAAATTAACTACGGTGAGCCAAAACATCAGGCTTCATTCAATTCTTGTTTTCTGCTTTTGGATCTGTATGATGTCAGCAGGAGCAGACATCTCAAGGACACAGGTGTGACTGTTAGCACAGAGTCCCCACCCACCCGCTGTTACATCCTTGTGTTTGTGAGGGAAAGCCAATCAGAACCAAGTTAGTTTAATTCGATGGTTGTCTTAAAGGGAGGGAGGGTAAAACTGATTATTTTGATTGAACTAAGCTGCGACATAAGACAAGCACAGGCTAAGTAGGCTATGGATTATTTTGAACAGCGACTCAAACAAAGCTATTTTACTAGAGTGCTCAGAATGAGCATAATACTTCTCATTTAACAGCTGGCTGACGATTCATACAGTATTAAAGTTGCAAAGTTTTACTCGCATCTTCAACAGATCCCTGGAGCTGTGTGAAGTTCCCTCCTGCT